ATGTTTGTACACCATGTTCACAGCAGCACCGCTCACAATAACCAGAATGCGGAAGCAGCTGGCGTCCACTGACGGATGAGTGGATAAAGGCCACGTGGCCTCTCCCTGCAATGGAATAATCCAGCCACGAAGATGAATGACGCACCGACCTATGCTGCAGCACCACGGTGCCCGAGGACATGATGCTCCGTGAAAGCAGCCCGTCACAGAAACACAGCTCCTGCGGGGTTCCACTGGCACGAGGCCCCCGGAGCCGTCAGGTCCGCAGAGGCAGGTGGCGGTGGGGGGGGGGGCGCTGGGCAGCAGGAGGAAGGGGATCGCGGAAGGGGCGAGGTTTCAGTTCTGCAAGGGATGGTTGCACAACACTATGGGCATGCTCCATCCTACCAGCTGCACACTCACAAATGGTTACATACTAATTAAAAAAAAATCAGACAGGGTCTTGCTATGTTGCCCAGGCTGGCCTCAAACTCCTGGGCTCAAGCAATCCTCCCACCTCGGCCTCCCAAGTAGCTGGCAGGACAGATGGGCACCACCACGCATGGCTTAAAATGGTAAATTTATGGTATGTGGTTTCTTTTACCACAATTTTTTAAAAACTTAAAACATATTAAAGGCCATTTGCTGCCGTGCCCGGCCTGCACTACGTTCTAACATTTAGCACGCCTCTGCCAGGGCCAGGCTCCCTACCAGGCACAGGGGATGCCATGCTTGCCCCGAGGGGGTGGGGGTTACAGTCAAAGGAAACGAGGAGACACACAAAGGCTTCAGAAACCAAGGAGAAGCTTTTGCTGTCCACGCGGAGCCACATGGCATTGAGCCAGAGACCTAAAGCAAGACAGGCACATAACGGTGGTACTGAAGGGCAGGGAGGGACAGGGGACAGGAGGGGAACCCTCCCAGCAGGCAGGGGACTTCCTGGAGGCCAGAAAAGAACCAAGAGGTGCGTCCTCAAGTACAGCAGAGCTTGAGGGGCCACTGGGGACGACCCCAGACCCTCACCCGTGGCCTCGCTGTGCCCACAGGCCTCTCTCAGGCTGTGTCCAGGTTCCCAGGCGGGACAGTCCCACACCCATCCAGACCCTGCCCTGCTGGGGTCTTAGTGGAGTGTCCCAACATGAGTTCCCAGGGGTGTCCTACAGATTCCCACCGCCCCACAAGCCCCAGGTGCTCCTGGCTCGAGCCGCTCTCCCCTCTCTGTTCTCAAGGAGCTCCGCTTCCTGCTGCCCACACAGCCAGGGCTGGCTGACCTCACCCTCACCCTGTCCCAACACCGGAGGAGCCATGACTGGCTCGGTCAGTCCACCACTACCCCACACAAAGCAAGGCAGGCCTGAGAACAGGAACAGCGACCCACATGCAGCTCTGAAGGGCCTATATTTTCGGCGGGCGCCCAGCCTCCAATGAGCCACTCCGCAGCCTGCCCTGCCCAGGGCAGTCACCTCATAGCATGCGGCCAGCTGTGCTCATCCTGACGTGGCAACGACGCCACCAGCCAACCTGAAAATCCTGCAACAAAGAGCCTGGAGGCAGCTAGGGCAAGTTCTCATGCTCAGTTCACGAACACTCCCGTAAGCAGGTGATGGCCTGGGTGAATATTTTAGCTCTAAATAGCCCTGGAGGCCTTGAACCCGAGAGGAACTGGGCACAGGCAGCTACAGCTCTTGCAGACACCCTCGGCGTGTCCAGAGCTCAGAGCACAGAGGCCTCCGAGGACGCCAGACCTAAGAGGTGGGGTCTCAGCCTCCAGTCTGCCTCCACAGGGAGGCTGAGGATCCTTCAGGCATGGAGGCTCCAGCTTCCAGCTTCCCACAGGCTCCCGCAGATGTGAGCCAAACTCAAAGCCTGATCATGTGCACAGCAGGGCTGACCTCCACGCTCCGCAGTGCGTCCCAAATACACACTCCCTCTGTCCTTTCCCATCCGTCCGCCTGCCTGAGGAGCTGGCGCTCTTCAAGGCCAAGCCTTGTGATGGCTCCTGCCCCCGGGCCCTGCAGAACATCCACACAGGGCACTGGGCCTGTCTCCCGCAGGAAGGAAGCAGCTTTAGGCGCCTGTGTCTCAGGCAGCCACCGAGCAAGTACACAATCAATTATTATTATTATTGGAGACAGTCTTGCTCTGTTGCCCAGGCTAGAGTGCAAGGGCACCGTCTCGGCTCACCGCAACCTCCACCTCCTGGGTTCAAGCGATTCTCACACCTCAGCCTCCTGGGTACTTGGGATTACAGGTGCCCACCACCACACCCAGTTTTTTTTTATTTTGAGATGGAGTCTTGATCTGTCTCCAGGGTGGAGCGCAGTGGTGCAATCTCGGCTCACTGCAACCTCTACCTTCCAGGTTCAAGTGATTCTCCTGCCTCAGCCTCCCAAGTAGCTGGGATTACAGGTGTCTACAATTTTTGTATTTCTAGTACAGACAAGGTTTCACCATGTTGTCCAGCCTGTTCTTGAACTCCTGACCTCAGGTGATCCACCCATCTGGGCCTCCCAAAGTGCTGGGATTACAGACATGAGCCACCACGCCTGGTCAGGAATACTTTCTTTTCTTCTTCTTCTTTTTTTTTTCTGTGCTTGCTAAAACACAATACTTTTCTAAGATAAGAGATTAACAGGTTATTTCCCAAAAAATCAACTCTTCTATCTGCAAAGAGAAACCAGAAACCCCAGCACATTCAGTCCCAAAAGACACTCAAATTCAACCTCCATCAAGGTTTCCAATCTCTTTACTTGTCATCCCTTAACGCTGGTTTATTCCTACAACTTTGTGAACTCCAAATTAATTTTTTTAATTAAAAAAAATTAGGGGCCGGGCGCGGTGGCTCAAGCCTGTAATCCCAGCACTTTGGGAGGCCGAGGCGGGTGGATCACGAGGTCAAGAGATCGAGACCATCCTGGTCAACATGGTGAAACCCCGTCTCTACTAAAAAAAAAAAAAAAAAAAAAAAAAAAAAAATTTTGAGGGAGGTTCTCACACTCCAGCCTGGGCAAAGGGGAGAACCTATCTCAAAAAAATAGAGGCTCATCACAGCTTTGACCTCCCGGGCTCAGGCTGCTCTCCCACCTCACCATCTCAACTCAGCTGGGACTACAGGTGCACATCACCACACCTGGCTAATGTGTTTTTCTTTTCTCTTTTTTTTAGAGACAGGGTTTGGCTATTTTGCCCAGGCTGGTCTTGAACTTCTAGGCTCAAGTGATCCTCCCCCAGCTGGGTCTCCCAAAGTGCTGGGATTACTGAAATGAGCCACTGCACCTGGCCTCGCTTTCTTTTAAAACAGAAACAGAAGCGGGGCACAGTAGCTCACGCCTGTAATCCCAGCACTTTGGGAGGCCAAGGTGGGCAGATCACAAGGTCAAGAGATCAAGACCTTCCTGGCCAACATGGTGAAACCCCATCTCTACTAAAAATACAAAAATAGCTCGATGTGGTGGCGCGTGCCTGTAATCCCAGCTATTCAGGAGGCTGAGGCAGGAGAATCGCTTGAATCTGGGAGGCAGAGGTTGCAGTGAGCCCAGATCTCACCATTGCACTCTGGCAACAAAGTGAGAGTCCATCTCAAAAAAAAAAAAAAAAAGAAACAGATGCACGAGCGTGCATACACAAACACACACACACACGCACACACACACACACAACTAATCACCCATGGCCCCAGCACTTCAAATTAACCCCTTCAGATCACTTTTCATGCAGATTACAGCAGGGAGAGCAGAAGGTCCCACTTCAAAGGGTGCTGAGCTCCTGCTTCATATCAGCAAAAAGCATACTTTGACCTTCACTGGTGCACTTCTAAGGAATTGGGAAAACCTAAATGTAAGCTCTATGGAATCAGCCTAATTTTGGTACCCTTCCTAACCTAAACACAAGTGTTTAAAGAACTCTGGACAGAAGGAGAAAAGGTGAAGAACGACTGCAAAGCAGATTAAAACCAATACACTGACAAAACGGCTCATTAACTCAAAACTAACGCAATACATAGCCAGCGAAACACATGTCATTGTCACAGTTCTCCAGACCTTAACACTGTCTAGACGCAAACTGCAGGGTGACATGCGGAACGCATTCCAACCTTTGACTTGCAGCTCGTGTTTGCCTGCACATTCCAAATTCAATTCGGTGCCTAGGGAGGCTGAGTACAAATACCTGTCACGCCCAGGATCACCTGAAAGTCGGGACTGATCACCACACAGAAAGATGGCAGATAAAGGCGCCCAGTCATTCTCACCGAAAGAGAGCCGGCGGCGGTCTTAACTGTGACCATCTCCCAGGGAGTCAAAGGTAATCAAGTGAAATTAGTTGCTCCTGTAGTCGGACGATTTTAAAAAGTCGCCTGAGGCCAGGCGCGGTGGCTCACGCCTGTAACCCCAGCACTTTGGGAGGCCCAGGCGGGCGGATCACGAGGTCAGGAGTTCGAGATCATCCTGCCTAACAGGGTGAAACCCCGTTTCCACTAAAAATACAAAAAAACTAGCCGGGCGTGGTGGCGCAGCCTGTAGTCCCAGCTCCTCAGGAGGCTGAGGCGGGAGAATCGCCCGAACCGGGAGGCGGAGGTTGCAGCGAGCCGAGATCGCGCCACTGCGCACCAGCCTGGGCGACAGAAGGAGACTCCGTCTCAAGAACAAAAACAAGTCGCCTCAACAGAAAACCAGATGCACCCCTTTAAGGGCACTCTAGGGGACGCCGAAGGGAATGGACGTGCGCCACAGCTGCCCCGGCGCCCCTCAGCGCCCCACATTCCGCGGGGTCCGGCAGCTCCGCCCGCTGCCCCAGCCCTCCAGGCCTCCGCGCCCGGCGCTGCCTCTGAGGACTGCAGACCCCAGGCCCCCCGCCCCGTCAGCCTGGCCCCGCCGAGGAGCCCCGGGGCGCGTTCCCGAGTCCACCGCGCCTCGGTCGCCTCCAGGACCGGGACACGCGGCGCCGCCAGAAGGCTGACGAGGGTGTGGGCTGCGGGGCGCGCGAGGACTCAGTTTCCCCGCTCGCGCCGTGCCCGACCTCACCTGGCGCGCGGCCCCAGGCCCGGTCCCGTTCAGCAGCGGCGTCCCCACGCCGGGCCGCGCCGTCCTCCGCAGCAACGGCGCCGCCTCCTCGTCGTCCCGGTCCCGGCCGGACCACGACACCTTCTTAGAGACGTTGGCCATGGCCCGCCGCCGAGCGACACCGGCCGGGAAGTGCCGGCTGCCCCCGTGTTTGTTCTCGTGACCCGCGCCGGCGGCCACGTGACAGGCTATGGCAGCCACGTGACGCACGACGGCAACCACATGACGCGCGGCGGCGACCACGTGACGCGCGACGGCGGCCGCCGAGGGCCAAGCGCGCGGGGGCTCCTGGGAGCCGCGCTCTCCGCGGGTCGTGGCGCCGCCCGCCCGAGAGAATCTGCGGGGCCGGGAGGACCTGGTTCTGCACGCGCGACCGCAAAGGCGGCGCCGAGTTCTTGGGAGGCGAATGGCCACCTCCGGGACCCCGAGCCCGAGAGTCGGGGCGAGGGAGACGCCTGGGGCTTGAGGGCTGCGGCCGGCTGGAGGGGCCTGGGGAAGGGAGGAGCGGGCAGGGGGAGGCCAGAGCCTGCCTTGCCGTAGGCGGCCGCTGAAGACGGGAAGCATGGCCGGGCGTGGTGGCGCACGCCTGTAATCCAAGCACTTTGGAGGCCAAGGCGGGAGGATCCCCTGAGGTCGGGAGTTCAAGACCAGCCTGACCAACGTGGTGAAACCTCGTCCTAAAAAAGAAAGAAAGGCCGGGCGCAGTGGCTCACGCCTGTAATCCCAGCATTTTGGGAGGCCGAGGCGGGTGGATCACGAGGTCAAGAGATCGAGACCATCCTGGTCAACATGGTGAAACCCCGTCTCTACTAAAAATACAAAAAATTAGCTGGGCATGGTG